GAAAGCATGCCAACCCCCACCATCACATGACCAAAAGTGATTTCCTCTCCATCCAGAGGAAATCCCGGAACCCGGGGGATATGCTTGAAGCTGCCAGCATCACCACCCCACACTGGACCTCCCTACATGCTTAGAGGTTCTAGCTCCTTCACACAGCAGATGATTACTTATTCCACAGATCACAAGCGCATTCCACCATACCTTTGTGAGTGGTATGTATTTCTTATTTTTAACCATAGTAAAGAGTTTTTATGCTGCACCTAGAGGGCACCACCTCTTTCTTTCCTGATGTCCCTCTTTCAGGCAGGTGCAGTGGTCCACTCCCAGCCTCAGTCTCTCTGCAGAAAGTCCTTCCCTTTCTCTCCTCATCCCAGGGAAAACTACAACATCCCCCCCCCTCCTCCTCAATGCCTCTGGGAGTGAAGTTCAAGTACAGTGTAGTACAGGAGTAAGCTGGCCATACCTGTATAGATTTTTGTTTAAGAATTTTCGTTTCAAGAATATGATTTTATAATCATTAGTGGGGTCAAATCGATGTTTGTTTTTGACCGCAGTGATGGGAAATTTCGAAGGGGCAGGAAGGAAACTTTTCTTGATCAAACAAATTTTTTCCAGTATATGTGGGTATTGTTCAGAAATTACATTAATTTTAAACCCAAATGTTAAAAGCAAAAGACAATTTTCAAACGACATTCATCCATTCACCGAATATTCAAAGAATGTTCGTACGACTTTTCATACGAATATTCCCGTCTGAAAATCTACACATGTATGGCCAGCTTAAGTCTCTTTGGGGACTCTATCTCTACAGTTCTCCACATTTCTCCTCAGAGTCTTTAGCAGTCTACATGCTCATTTCCCTCCTTATTGGATGGAGGGTGTTAACGTCAGCTGCTCTATATTTTGCAAAAGGAGTCTCCTCCTGTGACTGTGTCTGTGTGCACATCTCTGCTACCCAGGGGCGGACTGACCATTTGGAAACTCAACCACTGTCCGAGGGCCCGGGGTCAGTAGGGGGCCCCATGAGATGCCCCTGGTACATTTTTCATAGGCTTTTTTGGAGTCTGGGCAAGGACGCAGGGGCCCCATGATCCCCTATTGCCCGGGGGCCCCATGAGTTGTCAGTCCGCCCCTGCTGCTACCAGACACAATCCTTTTACTGTCAGTGGTGCAGACTGAACTACACATGTCTTCAGCTAACCATGGACTTTCTGATGGAAGTGATTCCACACACTTGAATGCACCTCTCAACATTCTTACCCCCATGTATCACAGACTTCCTTGTCAATCCTTACGGGCCCAGGAAAGCCATGGCAGGAAGTCAGTGGGTAGATCAGAGTAAGGTCAGTGAACAACTATTTGTTATTATTCCTTCTGGTGAATGAACCTGGAGGCAATAAGCACTTAGTTACTTCCAGTTTCAGCACTGTCATACTGTGCCTAATTAGACCCCAGATGTCTCATTTAAGAGGACCTGTAATTTCCATTGTGCTTGCAATAAAGGAAAGTAAAAAAAAAGTTTTAGAATTTAATTTAGTTACACTAAATTATTAAACAAAACCCACCTTCATGTACATCCAGATACAGATGTAAACTGGGTGCACCTATGTATGAAAACAGCGTCTAGGCTACACATTCTGTATCTATCTCACAAATTGTGCAGCGCTTCCATAAATTTCTAATCAATGATCATAAATAGAAATCAATCGTGAACAACTCCAAATACTGTGTACTAGTGCTTAGTGATACTCAATTATTAAGCATGTAAATTCAAATGGTAAACCAGAAGTCTATAAAAAGTCCATATAAAAGTCCCATACACCATCCAATAATTGTGCAATCCAAAACAAATATACAATTCTCTTCCCAACTGATGATCTTCACCATAAACACATGGGTGTCCTCACACCTTCACTGCAGGACCTCATTGTGCTAAAGGAGGTCAATCCCATTTTATCAATTTAGGGCTACTGCTTCTCTCGATATCTCCACACACCCAAATCATCAAGTCCCCAGTTCCAAAGATGACATAAGGGAAGCAAGAAGTATATATAAATAGTGTAGATCGCCAATCCAGTTTTATTAAACAATTAAATTCGCACTCACATTTCAGAAGAAAACACAAGGCATATCTCATAACACTGTTGTATATCACATCCTAGCTCCACCCAGCATGATGACGTCACCGCCCACTTGACACACTGTGACCAGAACGGCTTTCTCAAAAACTTTTCTCAAAGGGATAATTTGAGAAAATCCATTTGGGCGCAATACACCCCAGACTTTCACAAAAAATTGGCCAGGTTTGTGGAGAAGATGACTTTGTCCTCATTATGGACATGAATGAAGTATGGATTTTGGAGGGGACACCATACTTGTTTTTTGTTTAAAGTTCCCCCTTAAAATTTCAAAGAATAAGTTCACTTTTTGAAAAAAAAATTATAAATGCATTTTATTGCAGGTTAAAAAAAAGTGCATTTATTATTTTTTTTTTCTAAGAAGCCTGCAGAGCATTGCATCCATGAACATCAGACTCTTAGAATAGCTGTCTGCCCATACCTCCCATACAGGCAGACTGTTACTTGAGAGTAAGAAGATCAATAAACTATGAGAGTGCTCAGCAGCACCCTCGTAGTTCATTAGGAACTACTAACCACACCATGGCTGATGGTACTTGGAGTCTACGCATTCAAAGGAAACTGTGAATGAAATGGCATGATCATGTGGGTGGAACCCCGCATGGCTGTGCTGTTTTCAAATTGTGACAGCAGGTGTGAGGAGAAGATCCCCAGCCTGCTGTCCTGGGGCGGGGAGGAGAATCGGGGGAGAGGGGGTGCATGCTGAACCCTAAATATGGGTGTAACATGTTCAGAAATGTGAAATTAGCCTTTCAGGCAGAGGCTTTGATTGTAAAAGTATACATTTTTCTATTTATTTTTTTAACAGAATACAATTTTTTATAATTTGCATTTATTTTTTTCTTGCAAGGTCATCCCTGCCCAAGCGAAACAAACATGACAACTGGCTGCAACAGTTGGCTGGAACTGTTGGGACCCATCATTCAGCCTGCTCTCTTGATGGTACTGTGATCAAGGTCTAAGCCTGTTATTCACCAAAGCACCCCAGCCTGGAAGAAGGGCAGCTTCCAGGCTGCAGCCCCCAATCAAGAATTCAGTAAATAAAAAAAAAATCTGGTGTTGAATTCAAATAAATATTGTACACTGAACCACAAAAAAAAAAAGGATGATTTAAAAGGCACCAAGTTAAGAACACAATTAAATGACTGAAAGGTCAGCTGAGGTGGAAACAGATAGAAAGCAACAACATGGCAGAGTCAAATTAGTATAATGAAGCTGTGCAAAGTACATTGCCTTGCAGCAACAAAAAAAATGCACTCCAGTGGCCGAGGGACAGGCACCTTGTATGAAAAAAAATAAATTGCAACAGCCAGCAAAAAAATGCGAAAACACACATTCAGCAGGGACTGCTAGCAGGGACACACGTGGACCCAGAGACAGACTGTGAAAAAAAAATAAATTGCAACCATAAAAAATGGGAAATATGACTTGGAAAAACACACATGTAACCAGTAAGAAATATAAAAAAAAATAGAAAATAGGCTTTTTTTGGCTTTCGCACAGCTACAAATGGCCTTATAAAATGCAAACCATATTTTCTCGGCCAGGAGTGACATGCAGCAAACAGCTGCCAGTCAGCCTATATAAATAAATGGCAGACAACACCTGTACACATACTGTATATATGCAAATTGTATCTCCCCTTAGAGATAATTAGCATTTAACCACTGCAACATGGGTAGAGGGGCATACCGAAAGGTAGATTTTATCTAATTCCTACAGTTGGGCTTCAGGCACAAAAACACTTATTTAAATGCATTCCTCAATAGTTAGAAAAAATATAAATCCATTTTGTGTGCATCAAATGCCTTTGAAATCCCACAGCTCTGCAAACACCTATAAGGCCCACCCTCTACAGGCTGCCTGGACCTGAGTGACACCAAGACACCTGGAACTTTTGAATGAAAAGCCCTGAAAAGAAAATTGGGATAGACAAAGGTAAAAAAATAAAAATATGGACACAGCAATTTCAATACCAAACATAGGCGCCTCTGGCAGCATTCCCCAGGTAACAGCTAGAGTCCTTCATCTCTGAGCTCCAAGCACTACCTGTCAGGAGCAACACCAAAGACCAGAGTCCTTGTCTTCCAGGCTTACTGCAGCTCATCAATGCACACTCACACCAGGCATCCGCCACAATGACTCCACCGTCAGGCAGTTTGCGGACTTGTTGCATGCCTGTGACAGCAGCAAATATAAAGTCCTTCTAGGGACATACATGGTCCTGGGCTGCAATAGCAACCAATGAGAGTTTCTGCTCCCCTCTCCCTTCAGCTATGCACCAAGCAGGGAGAACAATGGTCTAAGCCTGGGGAAATCTTCTGCTGAACGGATTAAATGAGAGCCACCAGAATCCAGCACTCTTCTTATGTATAAAGTAAATTAGAAGTTCAATAATAAAAGTGGGTTTGAAAGTGATTAAAAAGGAGTCACATTGCAATATGATGTATTATCTATCTTGGAGGAATGCTTAAAGCTGAACTTTAGGTAACTATAAAATGCACAAAGTTAAATATGTAGTCATTATTACATCATTATATTTATTGGTATTTATTTACATGCAAGCAATGTAAGTACCTGAATTTGACCTGGCATGCAGTTCCTGTACAGCAGCGCTCAGACTGGGGGGAAGAAGAAGCAGCACAAGAAGCTTGTTTGCACTTCACAAGCTGACTGTCAACTTTTTTGATGAAAGCAAATGGACAGCTTTACAGTCCCTTGATCACTTTATGGGCACCTCAAAATTGTCCAACCACGCATGACCCACCTGATATGCTTCCTGAGCTCTATTGTCCCACCTTTGAACATCCACTGATCTTCTCTTCTCTAGCTTTAAATAATGTATAAACAATGTGTATATTGTCACTTCCAATTTCTGTGTCACTCTCCCTGGTTGCTGTGGCCAGAAAAACAGGTAATGGAGCATGATCAGTGCTCCATTAGCTTCAATGGAAGGCAAGTGAGATATCAGGGGTCTATAAGACCCCTGATCTTTTATTAACTGCCTCCCGCGCCGCCATATAAGGTAATGATGGGTGCAAGGCGGTTCTCTCGTTCTGGGAGGACGTCATATAAGACGCTGACAGCTTGAGAGGAGAGCCGGTAATCGGTATTCCTCGGAGGGGACATGTACACTGATCATCAGGGCACCGATGACCAGTGTGCCCTAATGATCAGTGTAGCCCCAGCAGTGCCACCTGCCAGTGCCCATCAATGCCAGCTGTCAGTGCTCATCAGTGCCACCTGCCAGTGCCTATCAGTGCCACATCAATGCCACATATTAGTGCCTACCACTGTACATCAATGCCACATATCAGTGCCCATCTGAGCTGCCTTTCAGTGTCATATCAGTGCCAGTCAGTGCCACCTATCAGTGCTGTCAATCAGTGCCACCTATCAGTGCCAGTCAGTGCCCTATCAGCCATCAGTGCTGCCTATCAGTGCGCATCAGTGCTGCCTATCAGTGCGCATCAGTGCTGCCTATCAGTGCATCAGTGCCCTATCAGTGCATCAGTGCTGCCTAACAGTGGCAGTCAGTGCTGCCTATCAGTGCCACTCAGTACCACCTAACAGTGCCAGTCAGTGCTTCCTATCAGTGCCAGTCAGTGCAGCCTACCAGTGCCATATATGAGTGCTGCCTTTCAGTGCCCATCAGTGATGCCTGTCAATGCCCATCAGTGCCACCTACCAGTGCCTCCTCATCAGTGCCCATCAGTGCCACCTATCAGTGCCCATCAGTGCAGCCTATCAGTGCCCATCACTGCAACCTTATTAGCACACATCAGTGAAGGAGAAAAATTACTTATTTACAAAATGTTATAACAAAAACTAAGACAAAACATTTTTTTTTTCAAATTTTTCAGTTGTTTTTGGTTTGTTTAGCAAAAAATAAAAAAAACCAGAGGTGATTAAATAGCACCAAAAGAAAGCTCTATCTGTCTCAAAAAAGGATAAAAATTTCATATGGGTACAGTGTTGCATGACCTCGCAATTGTCATTCAAAGTGTGACAGCGCTGAAAGCTGAAAACTGGCCTGGGCAGGAAGGGGGTATACAGTAAGTGCCCTGTAGGCTAGTGGTTAAAGACATCCTGTCAGAAAACGTTAATGCCACAGAGTAGACTTTTTTGTGCCCCCACTTACATGCACATGCAACATTTACACTGATCCAGGAGTACCCATGTACAAAATATTACTTGCCCTATACATATTACATATTGTCATTCATACCAAAGTAAGAGCAATAATTCTAGTGCCTGTTTTATGGTTAACTCTAAAGCAATGACCTGTAGGGGCTTGTAAGGTGTCGTCTTGTTAGCACTTACAATTTTAAAGCCTTACATGTTTGGTATCTATTTACTCAGCGCAACGTCATCTTTTATATTTTACCAAAAATGGGTAATATGTTAAATTTGTGTGCCCTAAAATTCACAAGTATATTTTGTACTGAAAATTTGCACTTGATAAGCCACTACAAAAATATCATATGACATAAAAAATTGAAGCTACCACTATTTTATTTTCTGGGGTATCTGCGTTCAAGAAAATATATACGTTTGGGGATTTTGATTATTTTTCAGGCATAAAATAATTTTTTAAATGTGTGCAAAAAAACCCCACAAAAATGGTTCTGGCAGCAAAAAGGTTAAATAGGGTCTTTTAATGAAAATATCGGGTTTCATAGAACTAAAGATTTCATAATATGAATGAATTGTAAACTTTGTTGCCAATAACCTTAAGATCTGGGATCAATATAAATATGTAAGGAAAAAGTTACAAAAAAAGATCAAAAAACATAAACTACATAAAAATTAAAAATAATAAATAAAACTTAAACAAAATATTTCATATAAATAATTTTCCCCCTCTCTCACTTAACAGCACAGAATAAAGAGTATTATTTCACACTGTGTGTCACAGTTAAAACTATTATTGTCTAACCAGAATGAATTAAATGTGTATCTTCTAGGTGATAGCGTAGGCTACACGTTATGTCTGTTGCTTATTATATTAACCCATGACCCTCAAATGTAATCATATGGCATTAATAGACAGACTGTACCCTGCGGCCTATCATCCATCCACATTCATTAATTCATTAATACAACCTTTCTATCCTGGCACCATCCGCAATGTACTCCTTCAATGGTGACATGTCTCGGCTTAGCATCATGCTCCACTGCTCCCAGATTAGGCTATTTCCTTTGATTTTAGGAAGAAAATCTATTTTGCTTTGCAGTTGGTCTTCCTTTTAAAAGTTAATCATATAGAATAGCACATTATAACACACAGCAGGTGTCGATGGATGCCTTGCACTTTCCTTTGTCCTACAGCTTTAATTTATAATACTATCTGTATTTGTATAGGGGTCAATGACAAAAGTCACCAACTGCATTATTAATATAACAGGGAAATCTAGAAAAAAATGAAGCTGCATACTTTATGTCACCATTGCTTTTTGTGCATACCCAGTATTGTGCAATTTTTACAGTGTTACCAGCCTATGAACATTTCCTCTGTTGAAATTCTGGGTGTCTCCTTTGTCTCCAGTGTCTTCCCAGTGACACCCTGATATATGTGCTTCCTGTGTGTGGGATGCATGCACAGTAGGGGCTAACAGCACATCGGCAGTAGGAGCTGCTATCTTTCTCTGCCCTGGTACTGGGCCAGGTTGGCACATGTGCCGTAGTGGCTCTTGTATTTCTGATATCTGCCACTGCACACTCTGGAGGGGGAAAAAAAGGCTTCAAAAGTGTATATATATATATTACAGTATTTGTGTGGAGCTGGTCTTTTTTTTTACTTTGCATAATTTGTAAGAAAACATATACTATAAATGGTTGGACCTGTACCAGATAATTACCAGGAGATTAGGCTTCTCTCTAACAAGATAGTGAGATTGATTTACTAAAAGAAGAGAGTGCAAAATCGGGTGCAGTGTTGCATGGTAGCCAATCAGCTTCTAACTCCAGCCTGTTCAATTAAGCCTTGACAAAAAACTGAAAGCTAAGTGGTTTCTATACAGAGCTGCACCAGATTTTGTACTCTCCAGTTTTAATAAACCAACCCCACTAATCCTGAATGATTGGGATGCACCAGGGTTTATTTACAAAGCTGGAGAATTCAAAATCAGGGTTATAACCTCAGCTTGTTCATTTAAGCTTGGGCAATAAAGCCTGGAAGCTCACTGGTTTCTATGCAGAAGTGAGCCTGATTTTGCAGTCTCCAGTTTTAGTAAATAAACACCACCATGACACATAATGCAGCTTGAACTTCAATGAACATCTCACCCCAACAAACTACCCATCCCACAATACTCACCTTTGCCTGGATCATCTACTACTCTGTTGTTATCCTTGGGTATGGGGTACATGTATGGGGTAATTACCAGATTGTATTGATGTGCACGACAGAAAAGTTTGTTTAGTTTCATTTATTTATTTATTTATTTCAGGTACTTATATAGCGCCGTCAATTTTACTCAGCGCTTTTCTAAGGTCCCTAACTCACATTCATACATACACATACTAGGGCCAATTTAGACAGGAGCCAATTAACTTACCAGATGTCTTTAGAGTGTTGGAGGAAACTGGAGTACCCAGAGGAAACCCGCGTAGGCACAGGGGAGAACATGCAAACTCCAGGCAGGTGGTGCCGTGGTTGGGATTTCATTTGTTAAGTAAATAATTTTGTTTCATCCTAATCGTTATGTTAGAATGATCCATTTTCAGAACTATTCGTTATTTCAAGAGAGTATATATACTATATTGCCAAAAGTATTGGGGCAACTGCTTTTACATGCACATGACCTTTAATGGGATCCCAGTCTTAGTCTGTAGGGTTCAAAGTTGAGGTGGCCCACCCTTTGCAGCTATAACAGCTTCAACATTTCTGGGAAGGCTGTCCACAAGGTTTAGGAGTATGTCTGTGGGAATGTTTAACCATTATTCTAGAAGCAGATTTGTGAAGTCAAGCACTGATGATGGAAGAGAAGGCCTTGCTCGCAGTCTCCACTCTAAGTCATCCCAAAGGTATTCTCTTGGGTTGAGGTCAGGACCCTGTGCCAATAATGTTCCTTCACCCCAAACTCCCTCATCCATGTCTTTATGGACCTTGCTTTATGCACTGGTGTGCAGTCATAATGAAACAGGAAGAGGCCATCCCCAAACTGTTTCCACAAAGCTGGGAGCATGAAATTGTCCAAAATGTCTTGGTATGCTGATGCCTTAAGAGTTCCCTTCACTGGAACTAAGGAGCCAATCCCAACCCCTGAAAAACAATCCCACACTATAATCCTCCCTCCACCAAACTTTCACTTGGCACAATGCAGTCAGACAAGTACTGTTGTCCTGGCAACTGTCAAACCCAGACACATCCATAGGATTGCCAGACAGAGAAGCATGATTTGTCACTCCAGAGAGCACGTCTCCACTGCTCTAGAGTTCAGTGGCGACATGCTTTACACCACTGCATCCAACTCTTTGCATTGCACTTAGTGATGTAAGGCTTGGATGCAGTTGATCGGCCATGCAAACCCATTCCATGAAGCTCTCTACTTACTGTTGTTGTGCTAATGTGAGGGTCACACAATGTTAGGAGGTCTTTAGCTATTGACTCTGCAGACAGATGACAACTTCTCCACACTGTACGCTTCAGCATGCGCTGACCCTGCTCTGTCATTTTACATGGCCTACCACTTTGTGGTTGAGTTTTTCTTGTTCCCAGTTACTTCCACTTTCTTATAATACCACTAATAGTTGACTGTAGAATATTTAGTAGCAAAGAAATTTCACGGATGGACTTATTGCACAGGTAGCAACCTATCACGGTACAACACTTGAATTCCCTGAACTCCTGAGAAGGACCCATTCTTTCACAAATGTTTTGTAGAAGCAGTCTGCATGCCCAGGTGCTTGAATTTATACACCTGTGGCCATGGAGGTGATTGGAACACCTGAATCCAATGATTTTGAGGGGTGTCCCAATACTTTTGACAATATAGTGTATTTGTTATTCCGAATCAAATTCATATTTTTGGAAGTTCTGTTATTCTTTGTTATTTCAAAAACTATACTTCCAATTTCCAGACACTTCAAGAGATATAATAAGGTGTCTTGGTTGCTCTGCTATATCCACCACTGGTGAGCTATGGCATTTGCATGGACTATGATGAATATTGGATGGCACTAGCTGGAGGGATTGTGCACATGTCTCTAGGTTTCTCTCATACACACGGTAAGGAGCTTCAGAATTTATGGCTGATGTGAAGAAAGCAATTGTTTTGTTTTCTTTGATCTTAATACGTTTTATTCTCAAAAGTGTAGAGAAAGGACACCACATCACCATGTTGAGTCAGTTTCTTGAAGAAATGGCTAGCCTATATATCTCCATCATAGCTAGATTGGCTTGCCAGCTGTTGCACGAGGGCAGTGAACTGCTCCTGCTGTGCTTTTAGAGCCTGCTGTTCTTCCTCCAGGAGGGCAGCTATGCAGCAGCTGTCTTCATTTCT